GAATTCGCATTCATAGATCGACTTCTGAAAGGCGTTCTTGTCAGTATAACTACGTAAATGGAATTATTAGAAGGGAACGAGTTTTCATGGACCATCACAGTTATTTTTACTAATTTGTTTACAGTTTGCACTATGTTAATGTTTTTGCTCTTTGTTTTGCATTAAATGTATGTTTCCCTACACTGTGGGTGAACGGACAAACGTAAAAACTACATTTCCAACGATATCCAGTTGTCCAAATGTAATCGGGGCAATCCAGCGCACTGGTACTGCGATATGGGCACAGTAGATGCAGACAATGAAGCGAGTGCTAATTTAGCTACTTGTGTCATTTTAAGTACTTTTACATCTACCTCCCGTCTGTTCTGGCACAACACCGCAAATACTGCATCCCTTATCATAGGATGCCATACGCTTAAGTCTGAGGGCGAAGATATTGGTTTCCCCTCAATAGTTATAGTCACACTGGCCTTACTTCTAAACATTTTCTTGTTTGTGATAAATGTCCTTGGGCTCCCAAATACAACCCTTTGTCGTGCCCCTACCTCGGACTGTTCAAAATGCCTCTTCTTATTTTTTTTTTATTATTATTATTTAAAGCCGTTTTCGTCGGCCTTCGCAATCAGAACGGTTTGATTTAAATATTATATGAGCATGCAGCTTATTTGCATTGACCATTTATGAGTATTTGTGGGTTGCAACTGGGCAGAATCTCAGGCTGTACGTATGCACATTTACAAGATAGTTTCGACTTTTCCGAGGGGAAATGCGCCCAATGTCCAGTTAGATAAATGCCATTTTCTTTTGTGTGTACACACTTTTTTGCAATTTTTAAATTTTTGTCTGTACGCATTTTGTCCACGATAAAATTTACACAAAGTTAGGTAAATGAGGGTCCTGGTTTATATATTTGTGGTTGTGTTTAACCTCTTCTCTTGATTCCCTTCGTGAAGTCAAGACCTTTTCGCTGTAGTTACTGCAGTTTAAAGACAAAAAGACACATTCATTCTTAAAAGAAACACAGAAATGGGAAATGTTCCACTTGAAAAAACGTCCAACGCAGCTCCAAAAGGGCATTTTCCTGTGGGTTTCTTTGACAGCTTATTGTAAGCTTACATTAAAAAAACCCTTCTGGTGGTTTCTTGAGAGTTTATTATAAGAAATGAAGACAGGAAATATTTCCCCTGCCCTAGGTTACCTTACAGAAAGCAGACTTAGAAACTGGTTACCATCTTGCAACAGAACTGGAACCAGAGGAAGAGGAGAACATCTGCCAGTTTAATATAATAATGAAGATGAAAACAAAGCTGTTATTCATCATTTTTTTGTGCCTAAAACCAATAGAGATCCTGAGGAAATAATCCATTAATGAGCTCGGCATAACCTAGCGGGTAACCCTCTCCGTCTGGTTTGAAAAATAGTAACATTTTAATTCTCACTAATGCTGAAACAAGTCTGTAAAAAGCTTTCTGATGTTCTGGCAGGAATAAGTTGAGAAGAAAATGTGGGCAGGAGTGCGGGACACAGAAAGTGCCGGAATTACGCCCTTAATTATCTTAGACTGCACCACACTAAGCATGCAGGTTTCACTCTTGCATGTTTTGGTGTCACGATGAACATGTGTTGGGGGGCACAGAACTGTAATTTTTTTCAAGACCTTCTTCATTTGAACGTTTGGGGATTTTCACATGCACTTTCTTCACTGTTTAACTTCTTCACCAACCACCTAGTTGACTGACTGTTATAGCTAGTTGGAAAAGCCAAATCAGTCAAGAAATGTGAGGAAGATGGTGCATCACATCTGCTGGGAGACGTCAAGGTGCAGGTGCACTGATCCAGAGATGTCTGCTATTGCCAATCGGGGCCATAGCTAATGAATGGTAGGGAAACATATACTCTGATGAACTAAACACTGGAGCATTGTGGCCCAGTATGGAATCAGACCCAATTCTAATTGTGTTTTTGGGACCATTAGTTAAGGTAACTAATCACTTCAGTGAGAAAGGAGTTCATATTTCTTAATCACATAGGGAATGCTTTCTTTTTCATTGAGATCCTTTTATGAAAGTCTTTGTTTTTCCCTTTCATTCTTCATGGCTTTTCTGCGACGATAACTTGAATTTTTAGGTGGAATAAAGAAAACACGGCCTGGAGTGTGTCGATTTGTATTCCAAGCAAGCAACGCGACCTGTCTGTCTCCCATGTGGGGACAACTTCGGAGCGTGCCAGTAATCTTTAAAAGGGAAAAAATGGAGTCACCATATTCAATGACAAAGGGCTTTTCTGGGCCTGTTTGATGGTAATAAAAACTGTAGAAGTAGTCAAAGGATTTGATAACATCATTCAGAGAAGTTTTAATGAGAAATGGATCATGATGAGGTTTTTTTTTGGTTCTTTTGTTATGATACGTTTGAAGCCTTGATCACACACGGTACCTTGTCGAATTGCCCGGGTGTACCAAAGACCGACTATATTTTTCCAGATAGATCTCCAGCAGGCTGCTAGACTGTGCAAACGAGGACTGGAGCTCTGGTCACAGGGTGTGGAAAAGGTATGGCTGCCACACGGTTAAAAACGCACGCTTCAGGAGTGAAGCGGAGGGCGTGTGGAACAAACGTAGCGGGAAAGTACAGGTGTGATGCACGTTCATGCGTCGAGGAGCCAAGGAAAGCAGGACGCCGCTACCAGCATCGCTTTCATAATATTAATGAGTCGTAATCACATGAATCAAGTCTGGCAGCTGGAGTGCGTCCATCCGCTCATTTTGCAGATCAGGGTTGGTGACCCTGGAGATGACCTGTTTTGTTATGGAAACAAACCAATGTAAAGGCATTGTTGTCTCAACTTTCCCTTCACTGTTTATAGGATATTCATTGAATTTAATGCAGCAATGTTCAGAAGAGTAAGCCAATTATGGAATTTCTTTTGAACTTTTTTTAACCTAAAAAATGATGAATTATCATATAATCCATTCTGCATTGTGGAGAATATTACAAACAAACATAAGAATAGACCCTGTTTTTTACTGAAAGGTTCGAAAATGATTACATTTGACAATGGATGCTATTTGTTAATCATAAAAAAATGCATTTAGACTTGGGGGTTAATATAGGTCACTCTTGACGTAAGCTCAGTATTCAAAATAACAGATGCACATTCAAAAAAAGTAATGAATTATTAACTGTATGTTTATTTCCAAATTATTCGGTTAAGAAATCTGTGCGAACTGTGTAAATTACGGGCATTTGTCTTGGTGTTCTATCATTATGCGTGTTTATAAATCACTGTGTATGTAGTGGGAGCTGCTCAGTATCTATCTAATATATTCTAATAGATACAATAAGAATGCAAACAAATTTCTCTGGGACAGTAAATAGGAAAGTGCACTTGAAGGTGAAAGGAAAAAACTAATGAAATACAAGGCTGTACTCTGTAAGTTTTCAAAATGTTTATTCATTGTTCTTAAGAAGTAACTGTAAATCTTCAAAAACATTTTTTTGTAAAAGCAAATCAGACATAGTAATGGAATAGTAAGCATTTGGTCATTGGATAAAAATCCAGTCTCTTAAAAAAAAAATCAAAATTTGTATAACTTAATAACACTGAACAAGAGACTATTTTCACAATTTTTTTTTACAATCCTTAATAATTTATAATTTGTCAAAGCAACTGCGACGGATTCTTCGTTCCTCTTGGACAGAGTCTGTGCAGAATGGAGCACCAAGCCATTTTTCTTTTCTCCCCCCCCTTTTTCCAACAGGATGTGTGTGTAACAGTGGTGTCTTTGTGCTCCGGTGTCTGTCTCAAGGCTACATACCGCATGTGAGGTGTAGTTCGGTTTCGGAAAGCATCAAAGGTATTAGAACCATACAGTGAATTGCCCCCCACCCCCGTCCCTGTCTCTTCCCGGTCATCCACGGAGGATCAGGTGTATAAAAACACACACGGAAAGCTACAGGATCATCTACAGGACCGGCTACGGCGATTCCATTTGTGATCGCGCTGATCGACACGTTAGGGTGGGACTGGACATGGGATGGAGGCAATCGCGTGTTTGAAAGCATCAGCGGATCCTGCTAGAGCTCTCGAGCGTGTCGTCGCCGGGGCTGAGGGCCCGGTTAACGGCACGGCCGCGTCGCCGACACGACCATGAGAGCCGGCTGCAGTGGGCGGCTTCTCATCCTCTGGATCAAGCATAGCACACCTTGTCGAATAGAAGCCAGCAGAGAAGCATACACTTCTGACACACGGGTAGCAGCCCCCCACGAGATAAATGTTAAATTAGAGAGTCAGCAAAAACAGGTAGCTACTGTTATTTAGTTGTATCCTTCTCTCAGCTGGACATCATTCATTTACATTCTTTTTATTTAGCAGAGGGTTTTATCTAAAGTGACATACAATTGAGAAGGCAGGGTCTATCCAGTGCCTGTATCAACTGTGGTTAAGGGCCTTGTTTTGGCTCCAATGATGAAATTCACTCTGCTGACTCTGGGATTTGAACTGGCAACCTTCCAATCACAGGCACAGCAGCCTAACCCACGGAGCCACACACTGCCTCCTTTATTGCAACTCTGAGTATAACGTATGTACACACTTCATAAATCTGGAACGTGATTCTCCCCCACGGTGTAAGGAGAGAACACAATACTTTCTGCGGTATGGCATAAAGGGAGGCTTACTCCAAGCAACAGCGTTAACCACAAGAATCACTAGCAAAAAAAAAAAAACAAAACAACACTGAGCACTTGCTAGCTGACAGAGATAATACTGTGACATGTGATTCGAAGAACAAAATAAAAATCAAACACGTAAGTACATCGCCAGGTTCTTGTAAACAGCGATTTGAGCTTAATTTTAAACAGCTGACGGAGGACAGTGGATCAAATGGTGCAGGCGACTGGAGACTATTCCTTTCCATGAGTGCTTTGTTCTGGATAGAAACGTACGCCAAGGAAACACTGTTCAAATATAACACTGATAATTGGAATGAAAAACAGCACTTAAGGTCACGACCCCTCTGTTTATTCAGTTCGTTTGTTGCGAAGAGATGAAAACAGCTCATCAAAACAACGTCTATTTCAGCTTTTGAAGTGAACTCTAATCACTACCTCCAAAGATCCCTCAATATAAAATCTGCTTTTCCAATTACAAGGTATAAACAGGTAGTGATGCCGTCAGCATTTATTAATAAATGTACAGTAAAGATGTTTGTTATTTTTATTTGTTCTTTTGTTTAGTATTGGATCACTGAGACTGACAAGACAGTTTCACAGCTACCGCTGGCAGATCGGACGTGAGACATAACACTGTGGCCCTTATAGCCATAACGAACAAACAGGGGTAGACAAAACAGCATGAAGTGTCACCACAGAGACCTCGCCTGGAATGGTGCTGTGTGTGTGCACGTTTGTGTGTGTGCGCGTGTCCACGTTTGTAAGTGTGCTACTAGAGGGTACTCAGGATGAGTATAACCCCCACACTTCTGTCAGGCAAAAATGCACCAGAGGGATGTGGCAAGTAATGCATAACGAACATCTCTTAAATAATGAATATACATTTTAAAAATTAGTTTTAAATTAACAAACTTCAAACTTTTTAAAATAGCACTTTTTTTCATTTCAGAGCACAATGTACAGAATGTGGCTGAGTTCTCCTGCTTTCTTTGAAGGCACTTTCAGGAAAGGTGCAATAGCAAATTTTGGAGTAGAAAATGATGCCTATCAAATAAGTTAACATTACGAAAGTGTCTCGTTAAGGATTCTGCATTGAACTAACAATGCCATTATCAACACTCGTTGCCATGTGCGTGAACACAGAAGGAGTTGCTCAAAGAATTGGAAAAAAAAAGATTGTCTGTTCTCTTAATTAGACATAACAAAAACCACAAGAAAACTATTCAATTTATAGTCTAAAAAATGTCTTCAAAAGGAATGTTGCATAGAAATAGAAGGTAAGTTAATACTTCTGTACCATGGGCACTTTGACAGTCTTTATTTCTGATATATGGGAGGATTTCTGGATGATGCAGCTGGTTGTCCCTGATATGCTGTCCTTTGCCTGTGCTAGGTTAGTCAAAGCCATGGCGGCGTTGATCTCCTTCCAGTACGTCTCATCTTTGCCCCGTCCTTTTTCCTTCACCGTCGCACTGTGGTTTCAGGCAGAAGAAAATAAGAAAAGAAACAGTTTGGGACATTGTGTAAGTGGAGGTCTCACTCATCGTAACAGTAAAAGAGGCAGAAGCGATGTGAGGAACGCACTCACGTGTCACATTTAGCCGACGCGTGTTCCACAGCCTCTGAAAGCAAACAGCAGAAGTTAATTACAAAACATGCAGTGGACTGATCATGCAATCTGCACAGCTGTCCTGTTTTTGGTAAATGTTGGTGGGCATTTACATTTTATTTACTTAGCAGGCATTTTTATCCAAACTTTTTTTTTTTTTGAAAACAGGGTCAGACAGTCCCTGGAGCAACTGGGAGTTAAGGGTCTTACTCAAGGGCTCAATGGTGAGGTCACCCTGCTGATCCTGGGATTTGAACCAGCAACCTTCCAATCACAAGCACAGCCTCATAACCCACTGAGCCACACACGGCTCATTCACTCGCCCCGTTCCTACACAAATTTATGTGATCGTAAGACAGCTGAAAAGACGCCGACGGCCTATGGAAACGACGGAAAAAATGTAGCCGGTATGTCACAGACAGACAGAACGTTTCGTACTTTTCCCCTCCAAGACGCTTTAAATCTGCGAGGTTGAAAATAACATCTCATGGAGAGATCACCGACCCACGGCCGCTTAACGCGTGAACCGAAAAGGCAATTTGAGGCCCATATGAAAAGCATTACAGAAGAATGGCTGGTCTGATTAAAAAGTCCAGCCGGACTGCAATCTGGCACAGCTGGCCTTTGTTTTCCTCCCTTGTTGTCTCTCTCGCTAAATGTGAACGTACACTAGCTGGGCTCCCGGCCAGTCCTCAGGTAGAGCTGAGAGAGGGGGACCAAAGCAGGCAGGTTTGGGACCAGTCTGGGGCACCAGCAGGAGCGAGAAAAGCCGGCGTGAAGCTCGCTGGGCCGCCGCACTGGCTGGAGTTCTGAAGCAAGCGCCCCGGAGTCCAAGGATAGCAAACGGGTTTCGCCGAGCGACGACGACACTGGTTTGGCACCAGCGACTCCCATCAGGGAGTCTGGATTTCCTGCACATGGAAACTTCAGGCACACCCTGTGTATTAACAAAACACAGGTGATCCCGGCAGAGTTGGGGGAGAGAGAATTTGGCGTGGTGGTAAATCACGGCGCCGGGATTGCCGTTACTGTCAGCGTGGCCAGGGTGTACAGCTTATTTTCTTGTTACCAAGATAAGAGTTAACAGCCGGGTCGGATGGCCGGCTTGCACTGTGCGCACACTGCGGTCCAGAGCATGCTCCTGGTTTTCGTCTGCGGATACAGTCCTCTCCCGGACTCGGTGCAGCTGCTTAATGTTTGGGTTTTTAATGATTGGCCTCTTCCCGCCACACAGGCCATCGACCGAGAGAGACAGAGTTGTTATATCGTCAGGTTGTGTTTAGGGGCCCCTCTCTCTACACGCATCTCCACTCTGCCATCAGTCCTCCTTCCTGGTGCCTGCGGCCGTCAAGGAGGCCCGACGGGAGAGCAGGGGGATCTCCAAGGGTTTGACCCGTCAAGCCTCTCAGTTCCTCCTTACCAGACTAAGGGGAAAAAAAATGGGGCTTGACCACCTGCGTGAGCCCTGGGCCCCGAGGGACGTGACCTTCCACGGCACGCTGTCTCCGATCATCCCGCTGATCCTGTTTCCAGTTACTAATCCCGGACTCAGACCGCCATCCAAGCCACTTCCGATCCAAATAATTTAAAGCATCCACTCTTTACGTTCGCGCACAGAAAATTTTCAAACGTACCGTGACCTGAGCTGACAGCTACGGTACACGGCCAGTATGGCCGAAGGCAAGTATTAGGTCCATTATGAAATTTCCTGTTGTTTCCCCGCTCTTCAGTAATAGCTTAATTCCACTGAGACCTTGTCCATTTTTTCTCCCTCACAGAGAGACAGATAGGAACATAAACTGTAAAATGATCATCTGACATTATGGCAGCTTAAGCGACCTGCCGCGAACACGCGTGCACACGGCTCAGCGCTTCTCGTCTGCTCCATCCCCCCGCCTGGGAAGCCTCTCGGATTCGTATGGTGAGGCGCTCAAAATTTCCCCACAGGTCCAGCCAAAACAAACGTAGTCACAATCGTCTTTTCTTGAGAGTAAAAGGGGTACCTGCCGAATGTCAGGGTAACAGGCATTATACCTGACCCACTTCATACATCATTTACATCCATGAAGTGGTTACATTGTCAAGCCACCCTTAATTTTTTTCAACACATTTTTCTTACAACTGTCTTACAACTGAAACTTTGTGTGACTACATGTTTCAAAAAAAAGGTCACAGGATCTATGGATATGGTGGACAAGAGACCTTCTGGCCAACCAGTGGGCTGCATGGATCTTCTGCAGGGGCCTGAGGACAGATCATTTCACTGCACCATGTGACTTAGTCTGAACTGTCGTTCAACTGTGTGAGTGGGCATGCATGTGACTGGAGTTCAAAAACCTGACAGTCTCCTTGAGGTGAAGGTGTTCTGACATTTATGCATACTTCTCAGCAGGGACATGTCAGCAGTTTCAAAGGTTTGGGGGGGGGGGGGGGGCAATGTGGGATCACATTTTGGGTTTGCTATCAGATTTGCAGATCTGTTTTGAAAAGGTGGAGGGACGTACACTCCTTTCGGGGACTGAGACTTCCTGTCTTTGGATTAACTGGCTGTCTAGCTGGACTTCACCTGCCTTTGGGGTCTAATAGAGCTTTGGGATCTCGGAAGTAGGACTGGGGAACTGCTTGTGGCAAAGCTGCACCAAGCAAGCCCCGGGGGGGGGGGGGCGAAATCTGGCTTGGCCAAAGCCCCGCCCTGATTGGGCTACGGGGAATGGAGGAGGAAAAACTGGAAGGAGACGGGCTCACAAAAAAGACCATTTCCAATCTCCTTTGCCTAAAATATCTAAAACTCACATTTTTAAAACAACTCCCATGCCAAAGAAACTATGGATCCTTAATAAATCACCAAAGCTGCTTTTTTCCCCAGCTACTGCAAGGTCTGCTGAGCGTCTGGGTCCTAAGTGTCCACAGGCCCACTGTTAAGCTGGGGAAGGCGGCAGCATAATCAGAGAGGAGGCGGCGAAATGGACCAGCAAGGCAGGGGAGGAGGAACGAAAGGCACCGCTGACAAATCAGGATCGACGGGCCGCACCTGTCCAGGGTAAGGGGGAGGGGGGCTATTATTGTGTACATCTGCTGTTGTTCGTAGCGATACACAACAATAAACAGACGGTAGAAAAACACAAAGGCCGTGTTTAGTGAAGGGGTCTGCAGACACAGACACATCCTCTGCCAAAATAGAATACGGACACGCAAACACGCAACTGTGACTTGCTGGATATGGGGGGGGGAAAGCAC